AATTTTTCAAATTCTAAAAAGTAACATTCTTTTAACCTACCACTATTAGCATTTGAGTGACATCCTTCTAGGAGTCTCTACTCAAAGGATATATTACAGATAAACTTTAAATCAATAAAATCATGTGTCACTGTCCTATCCTATCACTTAATTGTTTCATCCACTACTATCTTGTAAAAATAATCTCATATATACACATACACAGTTACATTCCAAACAAAGTTATCATCACTACCTCAAGTAGTCCAACCGCAATGGAAAGTGCCACCCCAGAGGAACGCAAAGGTCTCTTTCCCTGTGGTACAGGCCAAGGGTCTCGCTGCAGTTCTCCCAGAAGATCTGTGAGATTCATGTCTATTTTCTGTACTGGCTGTAAGAACCTGCAAAAACAAAATTTTCAGATTAAAAAGTCATTCATAAATTTTTATGGGTAAGAGTTTGAAAAACAAACTGGGTTTTTTTCAAAAACAGGAACAAAATATTTAATGGATGGTACACCAAAGGTCCTCAAACGTTTGTGTATATAAAAATAGGTGGGAGGACTTGTTTTAACAGGGATTGCTGGTTCGAGTTTGGTAATTTATAAAATTCCCAAGTAAATGCTTTGTACTCATATTTTGAGTACAACGGCTATAAATGAAACATTCAAATCAAGTATTACTTCAGGTCAGCCTCATTTATTTACCAATCCAATAAGGTTTAAAGTTATTGAAATAATTTTGAGAAGGCACATCAACTCACGTTTTAGTAATATTACTTCAGCTTAAAAGTGCAGGGGGAACTTCAACACCCCACTCTCTCCAAGGACCAGATCAATAAATTAGCAAAAAGTAAACAAGGATACAGTGGTCCTAGATGAAGCTCTAGACCTCATGGACCTAACAAACAGGTCACCACACTGGCCCCCCCCCCCAAAAAAAATAACTCAATACACATTTTCTCAACTTTACATGCATCATTCTCTAGGATAAAAAAAAAAAAAAGTACAGGGGGAAGTTACCTCTAAAGGCAAGAAGGCAAAATTGCTTTTGTTTGGCTGTCCTCAATTACAAAAACTAAATTGTACTAAACTCAAAAGTAGAAATTCAAGAATATATTAAAACTAAAGTAACTTCTCATACTGTAATGAGGAACTAACCACTTCAATGATCTGCTTCAGCCTACATTCTTAAAAGTATACCAATATAGGCCCTCCCCAGTGGCGCAACGGGTTAAAGCACAGCACTAAGAAGCAAAAGCCACTTCAGCATGAGTTTGATCCCCACCCCAGAGGTGATCCACATGGTGTGGCTGACCTCTCCTGACCCTCCCGCGGCTCCCTCAGCAGTGTAGCTCATTAGTCAGCCTGTTATTCTCCCCACTCTGTCTCTGGTGAATCCTCTCACTGCCCCTGCACCTCTGGCCTGTATCCCAGTATGCATAAATAAATAAATCTTTAAAAAAAGGTATACCAATACAATCTATTATTTTCTTAAATATAATATACTTATCATTGAATGTCTGTATTCAAGTCAAGGGTTTGGGATACTTAAATAGTTCATATAAATGGTCAAATTTGTACAAATGGTCAAATGTATCTCTCTGATACACTTAATTATTACCTGTTGGAAGGAGGTGGTTGCTGTACCTGGGGACCACGTGTTGCCTGAGTAACAGGAACTTTAGAAAGCCCTAGCATTTCCTGTAAAGAGAGCATTTAAAGAGATAATTTCTAGGTATTTGCTTAATTACTTCTACAAAGGTTATCAACTATTTACCATGTGCAAGGTGGTGTACAAGGCATTAAAAACACACAGAGAACACAAGGTGCTACATTAGCAAAAAGGGATAGTAGCTCATAAAAATGTCATTTCTACTTAGTAGACAAAGTAAGCTATTGTATGATTGTCTTCATTCACTCCTTTCAACAACTATTTTTCAAGTATCTGCTATATGTACCATATAAAAGTGAAAAAATAAGAGTTAACCAAATCAGAGTCAATTGTATAAAATTTCAACTGTCGTAACTGCTATGAAGGAGGGGTACATTGCATCATATAAAGGAGGTCTCAAAGGTATATATACCTTTTGTGTCTATACTTCTTAATTTGCTGACTTAATACCTAATCCACCTGCTAGCTTTGTTTTAAATTTTTGAGGTATATACAACTCCTACTTTAGGCAAATGGAGATATTATTACTAAATCTTTCTTGATTTTAGAAATGTTTAATCATGAAGTAAAAAAAAATAATGTCACAAAAAACAAATACTTGTAAGAAAGAAATTATTGGACTAATCCTGCAATATTTCTTACACTGCTAGCAGTAACAGCAGCTTTTACTAAGAACTTACCATACACCAGTTTATGTGCTAAATTATTATACAGTATTTCCTCACAAAGCAATAATGAAATAGATTTCTTAATCTCTGCTCTACAGTTGAAAACTGACACTCAGAAAAGCTAAGTACTTGCCTAAGGTTATACAACCAGTAAGTGACAACACCTATATTAACCCAAGTTTTCTAAAAAGCCTGGATTATTTCATTAGTAGTATATTATTTCATTTAATACTAATAATAATCATACAAAAACAGTTATGGTTTATCATTTCCATAAAGGATAAGAAAAAAAAGCAACACAAGATCACATAACTACAAAAGTCTACGATTTGAATACAGGATTATCTGGGAAGCAAAGATCAGGTGTTTTTTCAACTAACTGGACATAGAAAGAAGATGAAAACATTTTAGTGGAAAAATAAATCAGTCTGCAGGCATTCAGTATGACTGCAAAAAGGCTTAAGTTTTACTTATTTATTATATGACTTAGGTAAAACGTATTCTACATTAACATTAAACCACTTAAAACTACCATTTAAAAGTAACAATACAATCACTTAAAGTCTTTTTAATTCTTGTGAACACTCTACAAAAAAAAACTAAAATTATCTCCAACTTACAGATTAAAAAAACTAAGATACAAAGAACTTAAAACTTGACTACTTTCTCTCCTACTTTATGGAAACAAATAATCCTCCTCTCTTAAGGTACTCTGCTGCTTCCTGTGCTCTTGAAGAAATCCCTACAATGGCTTGTGAAACTTCAATCTCTTCATCTCACTCTTGCTTTCACACTCACTCACTTTGGTCTCTTTCCTTTCTATATATAAACACATCCAGTGTTTCTTCTCCTAATATAGACACCTTTAGCTCATTCTCTTTCTAAAAATCCTATCTTTAAGTAGGTCTCTCTCTCAACAAGAAATCTCTTAAAAGTCCCTAATTTTCCCACTTCCTCAAATCTTATTCACACTCTCATTTTATCCTCCCCATCCAAATTTCTATCACTGTCACCTGGAACACCACTAGCCCATCTTACCAAGCTTCCAATTAGAATCATCCTAAAAAGTCTTTTTTCATTATCAGTAATCTGAAATTCTTCGAAGTCTGATTTCTTATCTGCTTATTTATGCCAATCTTATGTATCATTTCCCAGGACACCTATTCTCATCTGGGGATAGAATCATTTAGAAAGTCTTCCAAATACATCAAGAACAACCCTCACTTCCCAACCACCCCCCAATACAAGCGCATATTTACTCACTGTCTCATAGTCTATCAAAAAGATTTTTAAAAAAATCCCCACATGATCCCAGTAGGCTACGTAACTCTCCTTCCTTAAAAGTAAATAAAGCTCCAATTGTCCCAAAGATAAAAGTATTGTCCTAGAATGTGAAAAATATCTATGCTCAAAGCTGAATGAGTCTTAAGTCTTAAAACACCTCTTTGTGGGCCTTCCCTGGAGGCGCGGCAGGTTGTAGTGCAGCACAGCAAAGCTGGCTGTGGCTGCTTCAGTGAGAGTTTGATCTCTGGCCTCACAGGTCATCCACATGGTGTGGCAGACCTCTCCTGACCCGCCCGCTGCTCCCCTCAGCAGTGTACTTCATCCATCTGCCTGTTCTGCTCCCCACTCTGTCTCTGGTGAATTCACTCACAGCCCCTGCATCTCTGGCCTGTACCCCAGTTCTGTATGCACAAATAAATAAATCTTTAAAAGAAAATCTCTTTGTAAAATACAAGTGTTTGAGTCCTAAGATGTCAAGAGATAAAAGCTAGCATTCTATAGTAGCTTTCTCTCAATCTTCAGCAAGTCCCTTTCATAAAATCTTCAAATCTCTAGTAAAATACCATCAATTTCACTCTAAATTTTAAGGATACATTCACAAATGAAGGGTCTTCAATCTATTTAACAATCTCAACAAATGTAACAAAATTAACTGTCAATACATTGAGGACTTTATTATTATATTATAATAATGACATTATTATTATAATACAATATGACTGATATTCTATCAGTCATACATAATAGAAATGTTTTCTAGAAACTTATACTGAGAGAATTTATACATAGAGGGATGTTCACAGACAGTTAAAGCTATCATGCTCGTCATTTACCTGCAGTTGTTTGGCAGATAGATCTTTCGTTCCTCTGAAGACATAGCTTTTTGAAATTCCTTCACATCCAAGTTCATGAACCTGTACCATTCTCCCAAATGTAATAAGTCCGACCAAAGCTGTAGGTGGTAAAAGACTTAATGACATCTGCATAGATTCTTTCAGGGCTTGTAAATCTTCATCTTCCATGCAGGTATCAACCACATAGAGGAAGATCAAAGGCATCTGAGGACCACGCTTTTGAAAGATTTTGTAATAAGAAAAAAGATGTTGTTTTAAAAGCATTAACTTGCACCTGAAATATATACCTGAATTTAAAAAAATATAAAAGCACTAACACTTCAGTGAAACATAGGATAATCAATAACATGAATTTATAGTACATTCATAGAATGGAATTCTAATAAAGCCATTCCAGAATTGAAGCACATTTTTTGTGTGTGTGTGTGTGATATCCATCAGGCCCCCTTATATATACATACAGACATAAAGATGCAGACACATGAAAAGATATCCAAGACATATCACCAAGTGAAAAATCAAGTATTAAAAACATGGGTAGTTTTATAAGGGATATGTTCACTTTTCATCTTATTTATCTGTATGATGTTTCATTTCTCTTAACAAGCACTTATTGCTTTAAAATCAAACTGAGGTGGTTTTGACAGAATTATCTACCTTGCATGAGATATTAAGAGAAATGAAAACTAGCCAGGCTAGGCTAATTACTGACTCAAGTGAAACACACTGCTTTCTTTATAACATTCATAATGAATTATTACTTCCACCCTTAAATCTGCAATAAACTATGTAAAATACCTAGGAAGAAAAGAAAAGGTATTTTCCTAACAAGGAACAATGCAAGTCATTCCCAGACTTGGGATTTATAGCCTCAGGCAACATACTGATTAAGTATTTGTGAAAGGACTTTCTAATCACAAAACAAGATTGATACCTTAATGTTTACTGATCTATTCAGTATAGCAGTCCTCCTTTATCTAAGGGGAAATATTGCAAGATACACAGTGGAGATGCCAGAAACTATGCATTGCCCAAATAATATAGAGCAAGTCCTCATCTAATATCCTGGATAGATTCTTGAAAACTGTGACTTTAAGAGAAACAAAGTATAATGAGAGTAAGTCAAGTCCTAGAAAAATGTCATTTTGTTCAACAGTGGATGGTAATATTTGTCTCATCTATGTTATAAGGATGTTCAGGAGTCTAACCTACAGTGACAGTTGTTTATAAATCAGGCACAGTAAACCACTAATGATACTAATGAATAATAAAATAGAACAATTCTAACAATATGCTGCAATAAAAGTTAGGCTGAATGTCGTCTCTCTTAAAGTACTTTTGCGTAGTAGTTGATCACACAAAATAGGAACTGTGGAAAGAGAACCCATGGATAAGAGACACATGGCTTACTTAGCAAATGCCACTATTCCACTCAATATTCTAGCCATGTATCAAATAACTACAATGGAGAAATTACCATGCTCAAACTGACCTTGACTATTCTTACCTTAGAAATGTTCCATCAATTCAATGTGAGAATCAGCTGAAACCTTTTAAGTGATCTTAATTTAACAATTATTTTTGGTATAAAGTAAAATGTTGAATATTTAAAGCTTTCTTAAACATTAACATTTATGTCCTTACCAGAACTACATATTCAATACTAGAAAACTGAGGTAAAAGTTCAGCAGGCTGATTCAGTTCAGATATGCCAGCATAAGTAGGTGGAAACTACAGAGAGAAAAAAAAAAAAAAAAAACACAAAAATTGTAACAAATTATGTGCCAGAAAGAATAATGACATTTCAAAAATGAAAATAATTACTTACTGGTCAATAAGTATCTTTTAATAAAGGATATTTTTGAAAGATAAATAACAGATGGTTTCACATATATGTAGAATATAGAGAAACAAGAGTCAGAAAAAAACAAACTAATAACAAACTGTAGAAATTAGACTGTAGAACTGAAGCTATCAAAAAGTTAGGGTGAGGGGTGGAGGAAGAAAAATGGGCCCTTGTGGAGGGTGGTAGCCTTGGTGGTAGGTGTAATGTGGTGTCAGGGGTTAAAGCACAGTACTATGAAGATTTCCACAGCCACTGTAGCAAGAGTTGTATGACTCACCCAGGAGCTGACCCATGTGGCTCAGTAGACCTCTCCTCTCTGCTCGCTGCTCCCCTCAGCAGTATACTTCTGTCAGTCTGCCTGTTCTGCTCCCCACTCTGTATCTGGTGAATCCCTTGCAACTCTGGCCCGTACCCGGTTTTGTATGAATAAATAAATCTTTAAAAAATATTTATTCAGGGTCCTTCCTGGTGGCACAGAGGACTAAAGCACAGCACTGCAAGGTGGTTACAGCTGCTTCAGTACAAGTTCAATCCCAGGCCCCGGAGGTGACCCACATGGCTTGGCAGACATCTCCTGACCTGCCTGTTCTGTTCCCCACTCTGTCTCTGGTGAATCCTCTCACTGCTCCTGTACCTCTGGACTGTACCCCAGTTCTGTATGCATAAATAAATAAATCTTTTTTTAAAAAAATTATTCATTTATGCATACAAGAACTGGGGTATGCATACAGGAACTTCTATGAGTAAATAAATCTTTAAAAAATATGTATTCATTTATGCATACAAGAACTGGGGTACAGGCCAGAGGTGCATGGGGTGAGAGGATTCACCAGAGACAGAGTAGGAAGCAGAACAGGTGGATGTACTGAAATACACTGCTGAAGGGTACAGCAAGTGCATCAGAGAGGTCTGCCACGCCATGTGGGTCATCTCCTTGGTTGGGGATCGAACTCATGCTATAGTGGCTATGTTAGCTGCACCACCAGGGCAGGCCATAAATAAGCATTTTTTTTTTAATTAAAATAAAATCGATATTTTTAACATGAAAAATTTTATATTCTTTATACATATATATTTCTCTACATGGTTACATTATTATTAACATTAACATTTGCAAAGGAGATTTACTTACCTGATTCCTTTGATAGCAAAAGTTGCAAGCCCAGAGTTTTGCTCGGTAATCCACTTGACTGTTTTAAGAAAATAAATAACAGACCATGTTTCCGTTCATTTTTACCAAAATCCTAATTTCAATAAAATTAATTGCTCTCCAAAATATGAATACATTGAAACTGGTAGTCAAAGTGATCTTTAACAGTCATGTACAGACATGAATTAGAAGTTGCCAAGATCTAATTCAAACCTTCAACACAAACAATTTCACCTAAATGCATATAATTTTTAATATGTAGCAAATACCAACAGTATAATTAAAGTAATCCTATTTTTCCCCTCACTAACTACCACCCCCAAGAAACTAAGTTTTTAAATTAAATCGCCACATTTACTTTTTCCCATATATTAGTTACCATAAAGGATTCAAAACTGCACGGCAAGTGGTCCTACTACACAAAACAGGTTCATATTGAATCGGTGGTAAATCAGGTCTCTCCTTCAGTGGTGTAAATAGGGATGCTACTGGAACAACCATTCTTGTTGCTTCTAGTCGACTTGATGGCCAAACATTCCAACTAAACCGGACTCCATCTCGTTCTTCATTTTGTTGGATGAATTCCAAATAGGTTGTCATTGTAGAGCTTGATTCTTCTTTCTGTAACAAAATGAAAGGATATTTAAGAATCTAGGAGTCTCCTAAGAAAATTCAGAATATTGGGCAAGGGTGCAGGACTTGAAACATGAAGGAAGACAGGGATTAACAACAAGCCTACACTATAGAAGAACCCCTGGGTCTCATTAGGCTCCGCCTGAATGGCAAATTTATGTGAAAATGAGACAAGGCAGAGTACATGCTTATGATCAGCATCAAAATATATTATGAGATGTGAAAGACTTTGTGACTACTATAGAAATCAATGAGGAACCCCTTGAAGAGATGAGAAACCAACAAAAATCAGTAAAAGGTTATTTTTTAATTCACTCAAGAAATATTCTGACAGTTTTTGTTTGGGGAGATGGTATTGTACTAATTACCCCTTCAGTGACGGTTGGCAGAAACAAAGAATTTATCCTGAAGGGAAAATAGAAGACTGTACAGCTGCCTCATTAAATGTAGGCTGTGTAAATTCTGATATTAAGAAATGACCCAGTATTTTTCCACTCCTGAAATGAGTTGATTTTCAGATAACTGACAAATTCTTAAACTAAATTTCATTTTTACTTTTCTCTAACACTTCTAATAAATGTGGTCATGAAAGCATGGAAATCTTTTACAGGCAATAATTTGTTGCAATTTTTCCTTCAGAAAAAATATAACAAAAATTTAATAAAGAATGAAGTATAATTGTCCTATTTATTTCAGGGTATATAGGAAAGAAAGGTGGAAGGTGGAGGCAAGGGAATCTAGACCCAAGACTTTGCACATCAGCCTTTAAGTTACATTAGTCTAGTAAATGTATTGTTAAAATTCTAAAATTTATCTGAAATATAAAATTTATATTATACGATCCAGAAAATGCCAAGTTTCCACTAAACTTTGTAAAAGAGACTGTTTAATAATAGATAATAACAGATTCCCCCAAAGTTGAGTATGTCTGCTTAAGATAAGTCAGTTTTTTCTACTGTAAAATACAGGACATTCATGGCATATCAATAAAATGCTTAATAAGTAATGTTCCCTGTAATTTGTATATTATTTTACCTCTTTTATAGAAACTTAACTCAAATTATAACATTCCAACTTAAAGGAATACTTTTTTTAAATTTTAATCTAAATTCTATAACTTAAATATAATCACATATTTACTACTAGGAAGAACGTGAAGCTGCTCTGGCAAGGACCCAGTATTTAGAGACAGCTCTATCTCCTTACTCCCTAATTGCCTCTCTAAGATAACGCCAGCTTTCCTACCTAAGCAACAATTCTCTCAAACTGCAACAGAGGCTAGTGGTGGAAGGAAATTGTATAATTTAAAGTTCTCGGAGAGTAAGGTTTCAAGTGCTATGTGGCTAACTAAAAGATTTGTGGCAGAAATGAAGCTCATCAAGTTAAAAGAATTGAAGAGTTACAAAGGTAAAGTGTCAGAAGAGTCAACATCTATGTAAAAGTTGCTAAGAATTAAAGAAAAAGTAACTGACTCTAAAATGTAAGAGAGGGAAGTTAAGGTGTATTATTTGGAAAATAAAAAAAGTTTAAAATAGATAGCAATACAAATTACAGAAAATGAAACTTAACAAATTCAGTATCATAAGCAACTGAAAACTTTCTCTTCTTTAAAAAAGAAACAGGGGTCTCCCTTGTGGCACAGGGGCTAAAGTTTCAGCCTATGAAGCTATTGCCAGCCAATGTGGCATGAGTTTGATCCCCAGAGGTAATTTACATGGCTCAGCAGACCTCTTCTGTCTGCCCATTGCTCCCCTCAACAGTGTATTTCAGTGGATCCACATGTTCTGCTGCCCATTCTGTCTCTGGTGAATCTTCTCACCCTGCACACACCTGGCCTACACCCCAGTTCTTGTATGCATAAATAAATAAATCTTAAGGAAAAAAAAAGAAAGAAAGAAAGAGCCACTATTTCCTATCAAAATCCCAAAGACAACTAGAGAATTTTAATCTAATCAAAAGAGATCATGGATGGGCCCTCCCTGATGGCACAGCAGGTTAAAGCACAATGCTAAAAAGCTAAAGCCACTTTAGCATGAGTTCGATCCCTGGTCCTGGAATTGACCCACATGGTGTGACAGACCTCTCTTGACCCACCCACTGCTTCCCTCAGCAGTATACTTTGTTGATCTGCTTGTTCTGTTCCCCACTCTGTGTCTGGTGAAACCTCTCAGCCCCTGTACCTCTGGCCAGTACCCCAGTTCTGTATGCATAAATAAATAAATCTTTTTAAGAAAAAACAGCTGGGCCCTCCCTGGTGGCGCAGCGGATTGAAGCACAGCACTAAGAAACTGAGGCCACTTCAGTATGAGTTTGATCCCCCGCCCCAGAAGTGACCCACATGGCATGACAGACTTCTCCTGACCCACCCACTGCTCCCCTCAGCAGTGTATTTCATCAATCAGCCTGTTCTGCTCCCTACTCTGTCTCTGGTGAATCTTCTTACCGCCCCTGCTCCTCTGGCCTGTACCCCAGTTCTATATGCATAAATAGATAAATCTTTTTAAAAGAAAAGAAAAAAACAACTGTTGAAAGATAAGATAAAGGTCTGGGTTCATCACAGGGTAGTTAGAAGATTCCAAACTCAAGTCTAACAAGGGTGGGTGTAAAAGATTTATCTCTGGGAGAGAAATTTCTGCGAAAGCTTCTATGCTACAAATGTGAATATAAATTATAAAGCTATAAAATCTCTTCTGTTATTTTTATAGAACATAAAGCAAATGAAGTTTTCCACTTAACTGCATCTAAGTACAATATACATCTAAAATGCATCACCAGGGGCCTCCTCGGTGGCACAGGGATTAAGTCTTAGCACTATGCAGCTATCCACAGCCACTGTGGACAAGTTTGAACCCCCCCACACCCACCCCAGGCCACACAACTAACATTCCTGGTGCAGCAGACCTCTCCTATTTTGCCCACTGTTCCTCTCAGTAGTGTATTTCACTAGATCTGTCTGTTCTGCTCTCCACTTTTTTCTCTGGTGAATTCTTTCATCACCACCCCCACAACCTGTGGCCTGTACCCCAGTTCTTATATGTATAAATAAGTAATCTTTAAATAAATAAAATGCTTCACCAACAAATATGAACATATACTTGACCAATCAGTGTTTTCACCTGAACCACAAAACAAAAAATGCTTGAGTGATTATTTTCTCAGTCCACCAAAAATGGTATCTAATTGATACTAAAGTATTTGGCATTTTTCCAAAATGTAAGATGTGAGTCTTTCACTGGGAAGCAATTGTCAGCATTTGATGCAATAATAAATTTGAACTCTCAAGCATATATTACAATTTTTTAAAATTTGTATGCACTACTACTAGCTTCCCATCTTCCTAATATGTAAAGATTGTTCTGATGAGAGCCTTGGTGCATTAATGAGAGATTTTTATATTGTATAGTGAAGATACACATTACACAACATGAAAAAAATCTTGCACAGGTAAATAATCAAAGTGCATAATAAACAAATGGTTTTTAAAGTAAGAGTGTAGAAAAAGTCACTTCTTACATTTTAGATTTTACACTACAATTAACCTTTGATTTCTTAACTAAAGCTGAGTTTTGCTGTAGTAACAAAGAATATGCACAATTATTGTAAAAATTCAAATACCCCTCTTTTTTTCAAATTATGTATCTATCTGACACCAGATTTCCTTCACATTATGCAACTAAACCAACATATCACAAAATACAGAATGCAGAAGTAGATATAAAAATCTACCTAATCTATCTTCTAAGCCAGATATTTTTAAATCTTCAATAGTGTATCAAAGGGTCCTGAGAACCACTGCCTTAGAGCATCAGGGCTTAATTCAATCAGGGAACTTAGTAGAGAAAGGCTTTTTGTAGGGTATGTAGTATGAAGACATTTACAGGCAATGGTCAAGTTTAAGTTTCTATAGTAGGTAACAAAACTGTAACTTCAAATCCTTACTTTTTATGAAGACATTCCAAATATCATCTGAGTGATATTTAAGCACAATTCCCCTACTTTTCCTCACTCTTTTTCCTCTCAAAGTCTCTGATGGAAGATTACATTTGCTCACTAAATCACATCCATTATATTTTTTACATTCCCATAGTCCAGCAGTCTTTTTCACAAAGTCCCACCTGTTTCTTATTAACTGGGTCAGTTACGTGGCCATGCACAATAACCTCTCCAATTTTCCCTCAGCTTGCATAGATACGAATTGCTCAATTTTCAAATCACTAATTCTAGCCTGAAGCTTTGCCAGACTCAGCCTCATCCAACAATGGCATTATTTGAAATAAAGTCCTTGTTTACAAACCATCTTTTTTCAAACTGGCATTATTTAGCATTCTGTTGCCTGAGTAAAAGCATAAAACCAAATAAACCAGACACTAGTATTAGGATGGAAATTTAACATACAAGTCGTTACATGTATATTTTTAAAGTGGCACAAATACAGAAGACCACATTAAAGAAATGTCTCATTTTTCACAAGTTATAATCCATGGGAGTTACTTTATTTAGTTAAGTAATTGTTTCATAACTAAAAAGAAAAAAGCAAAACATAATGCCAATTTAACCAGCATGTCAATATGTGAAATAGTCCTTTCACAGATACCTAAGTAAAAACTACCTATACAGCAAGTAAAATTTGAGTTCTTTTCAGATTGTTAGCAGAAAACTAAATGCACCTCCCCTCCCGGTTGTAAGATCCTCAATGAACAGTCTTCAATTACATACAAAGGATGAGTAGCTTTATGATCTAAGGAAAATTGTTTAACCTCTCTGATCCTCAACTTCTCATCAGCAAGTTGAAGGACTTGATCTACAAAACTCCAAGAAATTTAGACTTAGAAGTTATTTCTAACTCTAAGTTACTTCTAACTCTACAATTCAATGAGTCAAATAAAAATGGCTGTACCACAACATGATAGACTACTGAAGGGAGAAACGACTTATATGTATTTGTATTTTAATCTGAAACTTATTTTAACCAAGTTAATTTGGATCGTTTCCCACGGTTTTGCGGGAGTTCATATGAAATCATGAATTCAAGATAGTTACTCGAGTGACTATATGCAGTTCATATAATCTCCCCGTTCCCAACAAAACAGGAAAATGTTTGAGCCGATTTGGAAGCACAACAGGTATGATGGTTTAATCTGAAACTGAACTCTTATTTGTAACCAAGGCCCAGGGCATTGTGTTTATCTGGCACTTATCCCTTTATCCCCTTTAACTCCCAAGGCCGAAATACGGGTGACGAAGTCACCTCGGTGCAAAGTCTAGGGCACTTCAGATGAGGCAAGGAATGAACCAAGAGTCCGAGTGCCAGAAGCGGTGAAAGTCTGGTTAGGGAAGGCAAGTCACTCCGGAGACCCGGGTAGGGTGAAGGGCGAGACGCTAGTACTGACGTTTTTCACCCCACTCCCATCTTTCCCCTGACCCAGCGAGCTGGGTGAGGGACCAAGACCCCAGGCCCAGAGGATGATGAGCAAGAGGACAGACAGCTTCAGAGCGCAAGGCTACCCCCGCCGAGCCCCTGTCGCAGCTCCCAGGCGCGCCACCGGCTTGGGGCACCAAGAAAGCAGAGCGGGCACCACCCCTGAGACCCCCGACTGCCAGCCCGCGGACTCGCGGGGGCCCCTCCCCCGCTGAGCGCCGGCGAACAGCCCCTGCCCGGAGCCCTAAGGTGGAGACCCTGAAATCGACCCTTACCACAGTGCCCCCCTACCAGCTCCGCGCCGGTCGCCGCCTTCGCCTGGCAAAATCAGTCCTCCTCGCGGAGCTGTCGCTGCCGTGGCACAGGAATCAGGACCGGCGCCGCCCCGCCCCCGGCCTCCGCGAAGACTGGGGCCAGACCAACATGGCTGGTGCCGCCTCTGCCACGTCAAGGGGCGGGGCGTGAGGGGCGGGGACAGAACCGGGGGCGGGGCGGCGGGGCCCGGGAACCTGAACTCAGCCGGCGGAAGAAGCGGAGCTAGAAAGTAAAGGAAGGGGCGGGCTGACCAGAGGGGACACTGAAGACGAGCGGCAGGACTGAGCCGGGAGGGGCCAGCAAGACTAGGCTGTGGGATGCGGGAGGAGCCCTGGATCTGGCCTAGTTAAACTGTAGTGTAGGTGTGCGTCTGGGGCACCTTTGCCCTCTCCCGGGTGTACTGCGTATCCCGCTCTGTGAGTCGCTGGAATGGTAAGAACTGACGCAGTTGCCATCGAGTCCTCAGCTCGCCAAAAGAAGGGGAGGCACCCTCGAGGATGTCCTCTCCTTCAAAGACCCTGATTGATTCCTAGAGATAAATCACATCTTCGCTGAAAAAAAAACAAGAAGTGAGGAATTCGTGCGGCAAAAATTTCCTTAACATCCACCATGTGTCAGATGCAGTTGGGGTTGTGTTATGACTTGGGCAAAACAGATCAACATCCCTAGCCTGGAAAAGAATTTACATGTTGTCTATGTATTCCTAGTCAGTCTGCCTGTGCCCCCCATCCACTCCACACACATATACTCTACTATGATCTTTGATTAATCTTGACGCGTTTCCTGCTTCCCTGTCATGAAAAGAACTGAGCAAAATAGTCAGAAACTGATCATTGAATTTGGCTATCTCAGGCAATTCCGCCCTTCAGGTAGGGGTTGCTCTCAAAACTTATTCCAGATATGACAATACAGAAAATCCTGCAACTGCACCGTTTAGCTGATTCTGTAAATGGGAGTGGGCGGGGGAGGGGGAGGACAGGGAATTAAAATCCTTGTTCTTCAAAGTTATAATCATGATAAACAGATACATATCAAACATGTTTCCCTTTCTGTAATGTGTGTACATGAGAGTTGTTTTGTAAGGTATGAGGATGAGTTTGCTTTTCAAATTTTAATACAATCCTTAAGATGAAATAAGAATGAAAAGCTAAAAATGAGACTGAAATTGTAAGCCTGCAAATAAAGTTCATTTAGGGTACTACCCTAATGAGGATTCGTTTTGAAAGCACAACAAATAAATGGCAGTGGACAAAGGCATAAAGACATTCACAAAAGACAAGATTAAGTACAAATTAAGTAGTCCTAAATGATTAAGGATTCTGAAATTCAATGAGGAATAAACCTAATTGGAACACCCTGGGTACTTTTATTCACTCATCATCCTCAGAAAAGTGTCTTTCTTTCAGCTCAGTGAAGTATAAGAAATCATAATTCCTTTGTTTTCAGCTGAGCAAAGGTATTTGTTCCCTATTATAGTGAGACAGATGTTAGGATAAGTAGCAAAATTAGTTCCATATACTTTTAGGTGAATGAGTTTAATCCTCAGATTTAGCATCATTTTCTGGGTGGTTTTTTTTTTTTTTTTTGCACTTATGTTTCTGAGGACTGATATTTCATACTTTTATTCCTTCCTAGAGGATCTCAAAGGACAAAGAAAAGAATTTTAACTGAAGCTTAAAAATTAAACGTATTCCATGAAACCAAGAAAATGTAGAATAAAAAATTGGGGGGGGTCCTCTCTGGTGACACACAGGTTAAAGCACAGCACTATGAAGCTGTCACAGCACCACTGCAGCATGAATTTGATTCTCGACTGGAGTAGTGACCCACATGGCGTGGCAGACCTCTCTTGACCCGCCTGCAGCTCCCCTCAGCAGTGTATTTCAGTGTGCATCTGCCTGTTCTACTCCCCACTCAGTCTCTTTCAAATCTTCTCACCCCCCTGCACCTCTCACCTGTACCCCTGTTCTGTAAGTATAAATAAGTAAATCTTTTAAATAGAATAATAATATTAGTGAGATAAGCCAGAAAGAAAAAGAAAAATGCCAGATGGTTTCTGCTCATAGCAGGAGCATAAGGTATCAGGAGGAAAAAAAGAAACAAATGTAATAGAGTAAAAATGAAAACAATGAACAACTATAAACAGAGACATTTTATGGTGGTGGAAAGGAATGGGATCAGAACTGGAATGGGAAGAGTGCACGGGACTATGGTGATGGCACATGGGTAAATTGGTGGTGGGAAGTCCATGGGGATTATAACTGAGATGAAAAAATGCAAAAAATTAAGAATGATGTAAAAAAATAAATAATAATAATAAATAGGGGTTTCCTAGCTTAAATTCTTGTTAAACTTTCCAATAAAATTGTTTTCTACTGTCCCTTTACTTTTTTATAACATCATTGAGCATCCCTTTATTATAATTTATATAAATTATTCAAGCAATTACTTAAACTCACAAAAAATATTTTAAAATTACTATTGAATCCAGATGACAAATAGTGAAGATTATTATTATTTATTATCATTACAATAGATATTGTTATAAAGTTAAAAGATATTGATATAAGAAGAGAAGAAAAAGAATGGAAAATTTCCTAGCTTCTGAAAAATGAAAGCCAGTGAACTGGCGAAAGGGGGAAAAGCTCCAAAAAAAAAAAAAACCTTCTCTAGCTTTCTAATTTAATCTATTGATATCCTAGACCAAGGCATTCGAGGTCAATCTGTGAATCTAAAGAATTCAAATGTTTGTAAAATACTTACAACATGCTACTGATTATAATTGTCCATTATATCACCTTGTGCAGGTCCAGGGACAAAATGATTGTTCATTAAATATTCATGAATGAAAACCTAAGCAATTAGTAAGTATTACTATTATCATTATCACATGGTCATTTTAATGTTTTGAGATTGACTATAAAAATATAAAATCTAGCAGTCTCCCTGATGGCGTAAGGGGTTAAGCCTCAGCACTGTGAAGTCAGCAGCAGCCACTGCAGTACAAGTCCCATCCCTGACTTGATAGCTGGCTCAATTGTAATTTGGGGAGGGCAGTTTTCTGTGTGAAGCCTGCCAGATAAAGCTTTGAAATTGCTTGGTTTTTAACTAGGAGCTGAACTCCTGAGAATTATCCCCACTTTTGACCACAAAGTGCCACTATCCCCAAATCATCTAACAAAGACTAAGTTGCCATAAATAAATTAATTCTAACATCCTCTTACTGAGACATCCCCATCTCAGTAATCATGTAACCATAAAAGTGTCCTGGTCGTCCTCTGTTGCAGGGTTGTTGACAGTGAGAAGGTATCCATAAATATTTTTTAATGATTTTTATTTTATTTATTTATGCATACAAGAACTGAAATGTAGATCAGAAGAGAGAGAGGAGGGGAAGGGAGAGATTCACCAAAGACAGAGTAGGGAGAAGAACAGATAGATCTACTAAAATATACTGCTTAGGGGAGCAGTGGGACAGACAGAAGAAGTCTGCTGTGCTGTGTGAGTCAGCAACCTGACATTCTACAGTGGCTGGCGATAGCTTGATAGCCCTGATACTTTACCTCCTGTGCCATAAGAGAGGCTCCTCCATAAATATTAAGTATATATACCTACTACATTTATTTTTTTTAAGATTTATTTATTTATACATGAAGAAATGGGGTACTGGCCAGAGGTGCAGGGGAAGTGAGAGGATTCACCAGAGACAGAGTTGGGAGCAGAACAAGCAGACTAATCAAGTACACTGCTGAGGGGAGCAGCAGGTGAGAGAGAAGTCTATTGTGCCATGTGGGTCACCTCCCTGGCTAGGGACATAAAAGGAAGCAGCTGTGGCTAGCTTCATAGTGCTGCACTGCAACCCACTGAGCAGGCAGGGAAGGGCCCACATCTACATTTCTCACAAGGTTGTCCAGTATCATTTATTCCCTACTTCCTCTGCATCAATCACAGTGACCAACTTCCAATGTTTCCAATTCCATGGATATCCTCTGGCCTTGAAAAAACTTTCCCTTATCTACTGAGACTGATATACAAAATTACAACAACCAAACAATATGTATAAAAACAGAACTCTGACTTAAAATCTTCAGCAACTATCCCAGAAAACCATCCCATTATTATACAATAACCAGACCAAGAAGCCAGCCTGTTATAAGTCAAAGTTGGAGGAAGTCATGCTGCTATCTTTAGCAACAATAAAGGAAACCAAACAATAACCACTGTAAAAACTGCCCCATTTCAGGACTAAGAACTGACAGATCTTTGATTTTTACCCCCTGCTTCTAATTTAAGACCAACCATATAAAGCCAAACATGCAGGCCTAACCAAATTACACAGGATGCCCTCTTCCAGATAGAGTAGGCGTTCAGGGACTTCCATTTGGCATATTATTTTTCAGTTAAAGTTGCTTGAAAAAAGCACTTAACCTTCTTTTCTTCCTGAAAACAGGAGACCAAATTCCCACATGAAAAGTGTCTCTCCTGTATGCATCACTACCAGACATAGGAAGCTAAGGTCAAGATAAAAATGTACAAACTAACCTTGTTAACTAACCCTTAACTTTTTAGTTACCTTTCCACTAATCCTATCCTAGGTCAAACCACTTTGTCTTGGCACATTTTCATAATTTACTAATCCTTGCTCAACCTAGTATATAAGCTTCAGGCCCTAAATTTTTTGGATCTTGATTTTTCTTGAAAAGGCTATCATATACATGTAAGAGTTATTAAAATATGTATGTTTTCCCCCTATTCATTAGTCTAATGTCAGTTTAATTCTTAGACCAGTCAGAAACCCTAGGAAGGTAGAAAAGAAATTTTACTACCACCAACAGCTTGCATATGTCACAGCCTCCAATCAGAGCATATGTGAAATTTTCACATTTTTCCATTATAAAGCTTTCCTATTCCTTACTGGCTTTTTTGAAAATTTGCCAAGATACAAGAAATGGTTGATGATTCCTTTTCTATAGAAAACTCTAATAAATTTTGTTGCCCTCATTCAACATGTCTTCATTTATTTCCACATTGTAAGGCCCTTTTCTCTCCCTTGAATCTTTCTTTAATAGTACTTATCACAGGTAGCATTTAAAATTCATTTATATCACTTTTTGATTAACATCTCCTATCCACTGAACTGCAAGCACCCTTGAGGGAAGCTCACATTGTACTTCCTAATGCCTAGCACAGTGCCTGGCACATATATAAAATGTATTAAGTGATTCAAGTTTATTAGCATAATGAAACAAGTGAAATTTTAGATCAATTTTACATTAAATTTTATATTTTATGTCAGTTTAGAAGTAAGCTCACATAGACTGATTAGCAGTAGAAAAGTATACACATTTAAATAACTCTTACATGTATATGACAGCCTTCACAAGAAAAATCAAGATCCAAAGAATGCAAGGCCTTAAGCTTATATACTAGGTTGGGCAAAGATTAGTAAATGATGAAGATATGACAAGACAAAGGGGCTTGACCTAGGACAGTTATTTGTGGAAAAGTAACTAAAAGAAGTAAAGGTTATAGTCCAAAATTTCTAAAAGAAGTAAAAGTAACTAAAAAATGAACTGAGAAAGCATAGCAGGAGGAAAATGTACTCTAATATAGTAGATATTTCAAAAAATTTACAAAGGCAGAAAAGAATGGTGCCTCCCTGGTGGCACAGGGCTTAGTGGCTCAGTACTATGAAGCTATCCACAGCCACTGCCCCAGGAGTTCAATCCCTGGCCAGGGAGCTGGCCCACAGGGCACAGCAGACCTTTCTTGTCTTACCTGCTGCTCCCCTCAGCAGTGTATTTCCATAGACCTGCCTGTTTTGCTCCTCACTTTGTCCCTGGTGAATCCTCTTGCCCACCCCTATCCCCGCACTCTGGTCTACACCCCAGTTCTTGTATGCATAAACAAATACAAATAATTTTTTTTAAAGTAAGAAAAGACTGTCCAAATTATGGATGAGCTTGTAATCCTCTTAAAATGTCGATTTCTGACCCCACAACTAATCAGCAAAATCAGATGTTGTGGAAGAGAGTTATAGGACCCAGACAGAGGTCTGTACTTCAACTTATTTTTTCCTTCTAATTCTCATACAAACTAACATTGGAGAATAACTGAGCTACTTGTTTTGTACTTAGCACTGTAAAAGATAGAACCATCAGTAAAAAACAGTTGTTAAGGCCCTCCCTGGTGGCGCAGCGGGTTAAAGCACTGCACTGAGAATCTAAAGCCTCTTCCGCATGAGTTCGATTCCCGCCTGCCCCGGAGGTGACCACATTGCGTGGCAGACCTCTCCTGACCCGCCCGCTGCTCCCCTCAGCAGTGTACCTCATCGATCTGCCTGTTCTGCTCCCCACTCTGTCTCTGGTGAATCCTCTCACCCTCCGCATCTCTGGCCTGTACCCCAGTTCTGTATGAATAAATAAATAAATCTTTAAAAAAAAAAAAAGTTGTTAAGTTTTCCATTACAACCTTCTTATTACTCTTATAGCAAACTACCAATGTGAGAAATGTCAAAATACAAGAAAATCTTTCCATTGCAAATTGAGAAGTGACTGAAAATCATTGGCAAGGGGAACCAGAATTATTTCAGTACTGTAGCAATAGTTCATTTGGGGAAAGGTCCAATGAAATAGTTATTTTAGTCTTAGAAGTTCAGCTTTCCAAAAATTAAGATTTTTTTGAGAAAAACTTCATCTAAATATAGCTTATTCTTGGGTATCCCGTATCTCATAAAACACTTAAAATACCATATGGCAATTTCCAATTTAGAACCATATTAAACATGTCCCAAATCTTATTATTTGAAGTTTGATTAGTTTTGAAGTAGCAGAAGGCAATACTTACAAAGTTTTAATTTACTTTCCTCTCTACTGATTAATCATTACTATGTATTTAAACTTTTAGAACCATTTCAGATTCATGTGTGCACTTTACTACTCACCTCTTTTTATGAAAATGATTTATCATTATTTCCCAGTACAACCATTGTACCATTCTGTTCTTTCTTTCTTGATCCACTTCATTGATCCATGTGTAGTTATGCCACATAATCATTCTTGCAGCCCAGGGTTAAAAGGCACTGTTCCATTGTTCGCTAGGTAATTACCTGTTGTTTTTTTTTTATCCAGAAGAGTGAGGGAAAATTGTTAATTAGTTTTAAAACCTGTAAGAAGGAAACAAAGAAAAAAAGCTGTAAAAAGGACCTCCCTGGAGCACAACAGGTTAAGTCTCAGCACGGAAAAGCTATCCACAGACACCGAAGCAAGAGTTCCAGCCTCTCATATTCTGCCCCCCACCCCCACTTCTGGTCTACACCCCAGTGCTTGTATGCATAAATAAATAAAGCTTTTTAAAAAAAAAATAAAAATAAAAACTGTAAGAGAATCCAGAAATGAAATACTGCTTACTTTTTCAAAATTCTTGGTTATTACTAAACTGTGGGGAGTTGAGGAGGGGTAGAAGTACTTATCCTTACTTCTTTTCTTGAAGTCTGTTTCTTCCAAAATCACTACTTAAAAACAACAACAACAAAAAGCTAATAGCTTTTTAGTTTGGCTACAACTAGATAATGCCTATCCAAATCTCTCAATTGTAGACATTCATTGCCACTAAATCTTCATCTCTTAATCTAAGGATTGTCCTCACTTTGTCTTTGATTGAGCAAGCTACATTCTGGTTTCAAAATAAAATATTTGCTAATTAAAATGTTTTTTGAAAAAGTACCCTGTAAGGCCCTCCCTGGTGGTGCAGAGGGTTAGGATGCAGCACTGCAAGCTAGCTGCAGCCACCTCAGCGCAAGTTACATCCCGGGCCTTAAATGTGATCCACACAGCGTGACAGACCTCTCCTGAACTGCCAGCTGCTCCCCTTAACTGTGCACTTCGTTGATATGTCTGTTCTGTTCCCCACTGTCTCTGGTGAATCCTGTCACTGCCCCAGCATCTCTGGCAGGTACCCCAGTTCTGTATGCATAAATAAATAAATATTTTAAAAAAGAAAACTTGTCAAGGAAGCTCTTTTAAAAAAAAAAAAAAAGTACCCTAGTAATAAACGTTAAAAAAAATAATTGTTTTCACTCAGAAATTGTCTAGAAAGAATCAGAGATGTGTTTTTCATTATTTTGCAATTTGTTACCCAGCACAAGGTATTTAATTAATTTCTGCTTTGGTTCCTTGCCTGTAAAAAGGAGAAAATAGTACAGTTCAGAGACTGACTCCAAAATTCATAATGGTAATTTCTGGATATTAACATTAGCTTTATCTTTTCATTATTTATATTATGCAAAGAGGTTTTTCTGACAAAAGTGATGGCTATCCTACGAGTAGTATTCTATTCTGATGAATAGAATGTACACTTTGAAGTAGCCAAGCATACGAAATCCTCTATAACAATAATTTCCTATTCATTTGGCGTCAGATTAATTTGGGTTGGAATTGGCTCTTCCCTTTTGGGAGAAACCACACTTACAGAACTTAACCTCTTTTTCGGTCAATTTTCTTCTCATAAACGAGGAAAGCACCATAAACTTCAAGAGGTTGTAAAACGTAAAGGAAAAAAATTAAGGTGACTAACAGGGGTTTAGATATTTAAGAAAAAATTAGCACTCATAAACATTATTAGGGAAAAAAAAAAGAATTCTAACAACTGAGGTGCATAAAAGTCGATCTTATAGAACAGAAAACAGGATCACAAGCAGAAACGCTTCAAAGCACTTCTAGTAGGAACTAAATTGGCGTCTTCGTTACACCACCGGAACCTTAACATGAACGACAAGCGCCAGATTTGCACATGCGCAGTTAACACTTCCCCCGATCCTCTGCCCCGGCTTGCTCAACTACGCGCCAAAAGTGCCTACTAGTGCGCGGGCGCTGTGACCTAGCCTTAGCGCATGCGCTGAATAGGACTAGCAGGAGTAAGCGCTATGGCGTGGGTACCAGCGGAGTCTGCTGTGGAAGAATTGATGCCCCGGCTGTTGCCAGTAGAGCCCTGCGACTTGACAGAAGGTTTCGATCCCTCGGTGCCCCCGAGGACGCCTCAGGAATACCTGAGGCGGGTCCAGTGAGTGATTTAGCGCCGTTCGGGTGGGCTGATCATTCGCCCTAACCCTGGGCTCACGGTCCTCTGCTTCACCTGCACTGTTAGACCCCATTCCCGTCCTCAGATCCCTTGATTACATCTTTACGTGGGAGAAAGTCTATCAACTTAAAACTATTAAAGTCGATTGCCCGTGTCAAGCTCTGTGTTCTTAGGTTATCTTGCTTTCAATTCAGATATTTTCTGAAATAATGTTTAATACCTCACTTTCAGATCTGAGGGATTTATTTCTGATTTTATAATGAACTGTAGGAATGGATCGTTTGTTTTAATACACACGAACAAAACACTGTAGTAATTATGTCTCTTTCCTTTATTATTTGTAGGATCGAGGCAGCTCAATGTCCAGATGTTGTGGTAGCTCAAATTGACCCAAAGAAGTTGAAAAGGAAGCAAAGTGTAAATGTTTCTGTGAGTCTTAACGACCCTTTAGGGGATTTTTTTATTTTTTATTTTTTACCCTACAAGTTAAAAGACCAAGGCTCCCTTCCTATAGTACTTGACCATTTCAATTATTATGTAGGTTAATTTCTGACCACTACCTATGAAGTTAGACTTTTGCTTATACTTTTTCCTTTCAAAAAGGAGAGTGGGAGTTTATTGCGTTCTGAGTGACTTTAAGTGACACTGTCCTTTTTGGATTTGTTCATCATACTTAGAATGTGATTCAATCCTGTAAGTCTTTAAATAGCTTATTTGTGTTATTTCATTTTAAATAATTTTTTCCAGTTGTCTTCATAATTATTATTGGGCTGTTTTAGTACAGTTTGGTGTGTTCTAAATTCGACTGCATTTTGTTGTAGGAATATAAATCCAAGTATCTTAACACTTTTCTGGTAATTGGACACTAAACATTTTCATTAGATTATTCATCACATTTTTATTAAACACCTAGGTTCTGTCAAACACTGGGAATACGCTAATATACAACAGGTCCTTAACTCTGAAACATACATAGTTAATAATCAAGTAAATACTTTTGACTATTACTATGAAGAAAGTGAATGTATATAATGATGAATACCTAATAACAGGAAAACTATTTTAGATAGTCACAGAAGGCCTCCTGAGGAAGTGATATTTAACCTAAGATCAAGGGAGAACAGTTTTTACTGGAATAAATAATATTCCTTTTATATTCTAAATAATTCCTTTTCTGATGTTTATAATCATGAAGCTTTAATCCAGAAATTTATGTAATTCCTTTTCAGAAGTATTTTGTTGATGGAAGACATTTTATAACCACACCAAGTTTTAATTCAAGATTTATATCACCAGTTGCAAAAGACATGCTGTTTAGGAAACAGCACAGTCTTTCTAAAATTCAGATGTCTTAATTTATTTTAGTACATTTTGCCTGTACCAAAAATCTGTATTTGGAATATAGCTCTCTTTGTTTCAAACTGCTTTTCAGGTATAGAAACGTATGACTAGATTATATATTCAGGACTTAGGATTTCTTAACAACTCCTCAGTAAACAATACCAGATTCCTCTTACTTTATTATTATTTTTTTTTAAGATTTATTTGTGCATACAGAACTGGGGTACAGGCCAGAGGTGCAGGAGCAGTGAGAGAATTCACCAGAGACAGAGTGGGGAGCAGAACAGGCAGACTGTCGAAGTACACTGCTGAGGGGAGCAGTGGGCTGGCCAGGAGAGGTCTGCCACATATGGATCACATCCGGAGCAGGCTGGGATCAAACTTATGTAGAAGTGGCTTTAACTTCTTAAGTGCGATGCTTTAACCTGCTGTGCCACCAGGGAGTGCCCCCAGATTCCTCTTATTAAAGCAACTATATAAGGATCTTTTCCTAATGTTTAAACTTGGACAAATATAGTAAAGTGAAATGCCTACTCTTTTGCACTTGCAAAATATTTTTTTCCTCATGTTGTCTTAATTACTTTATTACTCATTTTTACTTGATTCTGCTTTTACTATGCAGGGGTATGAGATTCTAGTTAAAACACTAATACTGATTCTAGTATTTATAAACTGGTCTGTAGCTTTCAAGATGCCAGCCTGCTCCTGAAGGATATTCTCCCACGCTTCAGTGGCAACAACAACAAGTGGCACAGTTTTCAACAGTTAGACAGGTAAGTGTACTTTAATCATTTAACCAAATTAAATCCCTCTCTCCCTCCCTTAGATTTTTTTTTTCTGTTCTTAGATTATAGTTGGGAAAATAATATTTTTGATTCTGAATTTGTAATTAAAAAACTGATTTTTTAATTTGTAAAATGTATAATATTTAGGAATAGATTACTAAGCTGTTGTTCTTGTTATTAGAAATAGTATAGTTTGAAACATTTTCCAGATTTTGGGATTGTTAAAATGTTGTTCAGCAATAGATTTCTTTCCAGCTAACTAATAACTAAAGATAACTATCTAGTTTTTCTTCCTTTAGAGTATGAACAGAAATAGAAGTCACTGGAAATCACAACAGTTGGATAGCAATGTGATGATGGTATGTAAGTTTCTGTTGAAATTGTACAATGTCTACCTATTTGAAATAGTCCAAATTATCTTCCAGCCTTTAAAGATTCTCCTAGTTAATACTGTTATCTTCCTTCTCTCCCATCTGCTATTAGTGGTAGCAACTCCATTATACCAGTAGTCTGAAAAGTATAGAATTAGTAATGCAAAGTGCTTTTTTAAAGATTTATTTATTTATTCATACAGACCTGGGGTACAGGCCAGAGATGCGGAGGGTGAAAAGATTCACCACAGACAAAGTGGGGAGCAGAACAGGCAGATTAACAAAGTACACTGCTGAGGGGAGCAGTGGGCGGGTCAGGAGAGGTCTGCCCTGCCATGTGGATCTCCTCCGGGGCAGGCGGGAATCGAACTCATATGGAAGTGGCTTAAGCTTCTTTGTGCTGTGCTCCAACCCGCGGCACCACCAGGGAGGGACCGCAAAGTGCTTTTTATATGACAATTTTAACCTGCGGCATCTTGAGAGATTTTGAGATAGGTAGTCATTAGACCGCTACATGTTTTTAAGGATTCTTCCAGACATTTACTTTTTTAATATTTATTTAAAATTAATTTATTTAATATTAAATACTTTTTTAGTATTTATGATTTAAGATTGATTAGAGGCTTATTGATTTTCTTGATGAAGTCACGACACCAATAACTGATTTTTTTAATGAAATCTTTCATATGAGAAAATGATATCTCCTGATTTTTATCAGCTGATATAAAATTTTAAGTTCTTCAAGTAGTTATATCTGGACTACTGCATAGAAAGGCAGTTGGTGAAGAGATGACTACTTTGTTCCAGGGCATACTTTCTACCTTTTAGGGAGTGTCATATTTTGAGAATCAGATGAAAGCAGTTTGTTTTCAGAGATTAAAAAATGTGCCTCACTGCTGGTGGGAATGCAAATGAGTACAACCACTATGGAAAACTGTTTGAAATCTCCTCAAACTGTTAAATATGGAACTTCCATATTACCTAGCAATCCCACTCCTAGGTATCTACCCAAAAGAGAAAAACACTGATTCAAAAAGATACCTGCACCCCATGTTTATTGCTGCTTTATTTACAATTGGAAACACATGGAAACAGCCCAAATGCCCAAAAGTGGATGACTGGACAAAAAAGATGTGGCACATATACACAATGGAATATTACCCAGCAACCAAAAAAAATAAACACATGCCTTTTGCAGCAACATGGATGGAGCTGGAAAAGATGCTTAGTAAAAAAGCCAGAAAGAAAAGGAAAAATACCAGATGGTTTCACTCATAGCAGGAATATAACGGACCAGGCGAGAAAATAATAATAATAATGAACATCTATGTACCAGAGACATTCTATGGGGTGGAGTGGGGAATGGGATCAAAAACAGTGAGGGGAGAGAAATGCACCAGACTATGGTCATGGCACATGGGTGATTTGGTGATGGGAAGCTCAAGGGGATTACAACCTGATATGAAAAAATGCACAAAGTGATCTAAAAGCAAACTATTATAATATTCATTTAAAAAAAAAAAAGTGCCTAAAACAGTTTCCAGTTTCAGTTAGTTTGTAGATTTCAAATTTTAGAATTTCTGTAGGTAGTACTTTCCTAACATCTCTTCCGTGGTAACACAATCAGATAAACTGAGGCTGCTGCTTACATAGTATTCCTGAGACTGCCAAAATGAAAACTGAAAGATCCAATACATGGCCTCTGTGTCTGACAATCCATGCCAGCTGGAAGCTCTGCTCTATGAAAGTATGAAAAGAAAAAACATTTTCTCAAAATAATTTAACTCATAAAGCTTTTCATTATGAGGCCTCCTAATAAGAAGGAGTTAGGGTATATTTTTTCCTTGCTTCATGTAAGGACTTTGGAATACATGCTTACTAGTTCAGAAAAAAGTTGCATTGATAACATGATATAATTTTGTCAAAAATGGAAATAACAGTGTAATTGATTCCATGTAGACAGTGAAACATTAAATAACAGTAACATACATTTACATGACAAATTTAAGCATTATGTAAAAATTGACAATTTTTTTAAAGTATGTTTTGGTGACAGCTATGTCAGCATAAGTATTTGTTTATCCAATCATTTATTAAGCACCTACTATCTTTCATAATCAGGGCATTCCATGGTCCCTGAAGGAGAAGCATTGTCTGACCCAGTGGAATAAATGTAATGTACACCATTGAAGATAATAGGTTTTAATTTTAAGGGTGTCATCTTCGCAGTGAGAATCCAAAGACAGCTATTTATCCTCAGGGGGAAATACTGCACCTATGTGAAATATGTGCAAGGTGATATATGCAAATCATGGTTTTGTTAAGATGTGAGCTAAATGCTTTTTCCCACTCATTCTGCTTTTTCCATCTTGCAGTGCAACTAGATTAAATCTAGTCCTTTCACTGGAAAATTCTTCAAGTATGTGAAGTACATAATCATTTCTACTTCCATGGGATAAACATCCTTCATTTTTGTAAACATTCCTTGTACATTTTTTTTCCCATGCCACATATCTTTGTTTGTCAGTGTCATTAAAGTTTGATACAAACTAAAGTGAGAACCAAACATCCTACATTTTGAGATACTGGAAGTTGGGGCTTCTGTATATGAACTTGATGGAGAAAACAGTTCAGCTCACATCAGACTGCATTTTTTTTGTGCTGAGGTGCTAGGACTATGGAAAAATTCCCACTTTTTTTATTGATTGGTATAAAAAATTATGTAGAGATAAATAAAACCATTGGTTTTTTCTTTTAGCCAAAATCCGAAGATGAAGAAGGCTGGAAAAAATTTTGTCTAGGTGAAAGATTATGTGCGGAAGGGGCTATTGGACCAGCCCCAAATGAAAATCCTGGAATAGATTATGTTCAAGTAGGTGATATGAAACTGAACAAAACAAAGTGTTCTAATTTTGGTTAATCATTTAGTATAAAGGGTAAGCAGACCATAGTGTAGGCTCATGAACCAAGAGTGGTTTTTAAAGTTTTTTTTAAAGATTTATTTATGCATACAAGAACTGGTGTACAGGCCAGAGGTGTGGGAGGTGAGAGAATTCACCAGAAACAGAGTGGGGAGCAGAAAAGCAGATCTAGTGTAATATTTAATGGAATGTTCTATTTTTTTTTTAAGATTTATTTATTTATGTTCTACTTTAATGTGCAGTAAAGGGTTTTTCTTTTATTCATTCCTTTATAAATAACAGTGTGGTGTGAAGTTAATCATTTTGAAAAAAAATGAGGCCACTCCCTTATAAGACTATTTAGTAAATTTCTGTCTCATTTTTCTTTCAGATTGGTTTTCCTCCATTGCTTAGTATTGTTAGCAGAATGAATCAGGTAAAATTATCTTATAATAAGGATACATGCATTATTTTCATTGTTTTGTGTGTGAAAGCTTCTGAACATATTGGTGGACTATTTATAGTATGCATGACCATGCCCTAATCTCTAAGTTTTTTTTTCCAAAGGTTTATTTTTACTTATTTATGCATACATGAACTGGGGTTTAAAAGGGGGGACTTACCAAAGACAGATTGGGGAGCAAAATAGGTAGATCTACTGAAACACTGCAGAAGGGAGCAGCGGAGAGACAGGAAAAGTCTGCTACTCCATATGGGTTAGCTCCCTGGCCAGGGATAGAACTTGTGCTGCAGTGGCTAGAGATGGCTTGATAGTGCTGAGACTTTAACCCCTGCACCACCAGAGAGAGCACTGGAAGATCAATTTTTTTGAAGACCATACAATGTTGTAAATCATATATTTAAAGTTTCATTTACTTGATCATTTTTATTAAGATACTGTATTAGTCATTTTAAATTCAACGAGTGATTTTTGTTGAGTGTCCAGCTATATTTGAATAACCCAGAGAATATTTTCAAGTTTACTAAATTCTATATGTATAGTTTTATAACTGACTATTTCTAACTAACTTTCTCTTTATATTTAAACTCTGATTTAATAAAAATAATCTGAACATATTTATATAAAGACTTCTTTTAAAACACTGGAATTTTTCAAGTAGTTAAAAAATAAATTTATAGTTATAAACTAAATCCTAGAATTTAAACCAGAGTATTGACATTTAAAAACATTTAAGAATATTGGTCTATTAAAAACCTCACTGAGTGAGACCTGTATTTATTAAACAATGCCTTAGTTTTCTCAGGAAATGAAGAGTAGGACAAATTTTAACATGTAGTTGCTTTCTAGCTAATACTAATTAAACTCATGTTAATCATCCAGTTTTTATTACTAATAACATTCTTTTATCTATTCTCTTCTTTTTAGGCAACAGTAACTAGTGTCTTGGAATATCTGAGTAATTGGTTTGGAGAAAGAGACTTTACTCCAGAATTGGTAGTATTGCATCTTTTTTATTCATAAAGCAGTCAAAATTATATATACTTACATTTGAAAGATGACTATATTATTTTTATATGCATGTATTATAGGTATAACTGTGTTTAAGTAAAACTGCCTATTTATACTTATACTAGAATGTGAATCACCATGTGGCTTTAACGATAAAATCTTGCTGGAGTGGAAGAGGAATGACAACTGAAGAGTTGACTTATATCCTGATATGAACTGTTTGTCATTTTGGACCAGCAACAAATCAGCCACCCAGACTGGCAACCAGTCTGCATATTTTGAACAACATTGGCTTCCAGTAATTTGGACATGCATTTTCTAAAATTTGAAATTCAGTCCATAACAAGAATACGAGAAATAACAACAATTGCAATACTTTGGATCAGGCATTGTTCTAAGGACTTTTTGCATAATAACATCTTGATTCCTTCCTACCTATGAATTATTAGTTGCCATTTACAGATAAGAAGATTGGTATATGTAGTTTTGAATTTGGTACTTGCTTACAGTCCACATATTGTAACCATAACTATAACTGGCAGAACTGAAACATAGTTTTCAAGCATTTCTGATGGATTTCTTGGGCTACATTCCTACAGAGGAAATGAAGGTTTGAAAGGGTACTTATATTAAGGGTTTTTAAGACATAATACTAAATTGTACTCCAGAAAGATTGTATCAAATCATATTTCCACCAGAAGCATATATGAATTAATTAATTCTGAGCAACATACCACTTTGGGGAAGTATGAATAAGATTGGAACAGAATAAAATAGCAAGTTAGGCAATACACTAAGTTCCTCAAACAACCCCAAGAATAAGACTTTCTTATAAACAAAAAGATTCACATTCATGTAGTGTAGTTCTCTTCTACATTAAAAAAGCTTCTCTATATTTAGAGTTGACTCAAATTTTCAGGGATATAACAATAACAGACATCTTGTGTTCAACAGCAGGAAATCGGTTAAGTGAATTAATTAATAAATACACAGTGGAACACCCATGCTACAGATATTTTAATTAAGCTGTTATTTTGTTCTAACTCTAATTTGGAGTAAGGAAGAATAAACGAACTGTATTTTAGTGCTTGATTAAATAGGGCTTATTTAAACACTCTGTTGAGACTAACAATATTCTCTTGTTAATACCATTTAACAGCATAGGGAATATTTATTTTGCATTCTGAGTAATAAAGATCACTTCAAAATGTTATTGCCTTATTAATGTTATTACAGTGATGAAACTTTAAAAAATATACATAGGAAAAGATGTACATTTTAAAAATTAGCAGAAATGTTATCTAAATGGTGAGATTGCAGGGTTTTTTTTTCATGTACTTTTTATATTTTTTGATTTCTCTTGATTGGGCATGTATTACTTTTGTAATTTAAGGTTAATTTAGCTTGCCATGATAAGAATATCATAGCATAATGTCATCTAAAATATAGTTCCTTTGCACAGACTTAGGGACCAAGTTATAAAATTATATGTATATATCTTTATAGATGGCAAAGAAATGCCTCTTAATTTTGTAAGGATTCACACATCTTAATGTAATTTTTTGTCAGTGAATTTAGGGCTGCCATTGTTGTGAAAATCTCTGAAACAAACTCTTGAAACAATTTTTTGCAGTACCTAATGTTTTATTTCCACAATTAGACAATGCAGAAGATGTCTATATGATCTTTCGTTGCTTATACCCAAATGTGACACAGTTAAATATACTATATGCACGTTTTAAAAAGTAAGTTAAATGTATGATATCGTACTTGCCTACTTAATACTTTTTAAAATTCTGTTTAGGGAAGATGGCTTTATGCTCTATTGGCTTGTCTTGAAAAACCTTTATTACCTGAGGCTCACTCACTGATTCGGCAACTTGCAAGAAGGTGCTCTGAAGTGAGGCTCTTAGTGGTAAGTTGTAATTTAGTATTTCAAATTAAAAGGACTCACCAATTTATATAATAAAAGATTCCAAGTTAATAGGAGAACTTGGAATACTTTATTAAGATTAGACTAAATAATATGAAATGTCTCTCAGACATAGGAAAATCTGAAGCTAGGCAGATGAGATCTAAATGGGCAGTAACCCAGGTCTTTGAGGTCTGCCATATATGACTTTTATGTTCTAGTTAACCTTGTGATCCAAGATTACTACTGGAGCTTCAACTATACTATTTCATTATAAGTAACTAGGAGGGTAAATTATGGGTAATTGTGAAGGAGAAGGCAGCCATCCCCTTTGAAGGACCCTCCCAGAGTTTCTAATAACATGTAGTTGAATTGGCTAGAATTTAGCTATGTGGCCATAAGAAACTGTGGGAAATGTTTGCTTTTAGCTGGATGGCATTGTGTCGAGCTAAATATGCCCTTCAGTTGCTAACTGTAAGGAAAGACTGCCTAAAGTGGTCAGCTAGCTGTTCTTGACACAGTGATTTTTTTTTTAATTTCTTTAGTCAGGCCCTATAGCATCACAATATGAGCTCATTTGTTT